AGGAACAAGATAGAATAAGAAAAACAAATTGAAAAATCATTTTTTTAAAATATTTTATTTATTTGACAGAGAGAGATCACAAGTAGGCAGAGAGCCAAGCAGAGAGAGAGAGAGAGAGAGAGAGAGAGGAGGAAGCAGGCTCCCCGCCCAGCAGAGAGCCCCTTGCGGGACTCGATCCCAGGACCCTGAGACCATGACCCAAGCCGAAGGCAGAGGCTCAACTCACTGAGCCACCCAGGCAGCCCCTGAAAAATCATTTTTTAAAGGGAGGAAAAAAAGCATAGAAATAATATGTATAATAGAATAATATGATATGAGAAAAATACTAGAAATAAAATATGAAAAATATACAAAAATAATATATAAAATTCTATATATTATATAATATGAAAAAATGAGAAAAATAATAGAACAAGCTCAAATACATCAATGAATAAAGTAAATGTAAAGAGACTATGTGTATCCGTTAAAAACAAAATCAAGTTATATGCATTTTATAAGAGATACATCTAAACTCTTAAAACATGGGAAGTTTGAAGGAAGGGGAAACAAAAGATACAACAGGCAAATATTAACTAAAAGGAAGCTGGAGTGGCTACATTAGGATGAGACAAAATAGACAGCAAGACAATATACTTCACAGATTTTAGACAGGGTCTCCAAACACTGATAAAAGGTTCAATTCACTATGTAGGTTACAAGCAAAATCTAAATTTGTAGATACACACACCCAATAAAACTGTATGTTTTATTAAAACTATATGTTTAAAAGTATAACTTTTTAAGCCTTCTGGAGATAGGGGGAGGGACTGACAAATGCATCAACATAATGGCTAATTCCAATACTTGTTAATCTCAACAGACCAAGCTAATGGAAAGTTAATTAAAATCTAGAATGTTTTAACAGCACAAGAAACAAGCTTCAGATATGGGCCGTCTGTAAGCCCTGCCCCCAATAGCTAAGGACTGCACATCCTTCCAGAGCACCACAGAATATTTATGAAAACTGACCTCTTAAAGGCCAAGAAGCAAACTTCAATGGAGTCCAAAGAGGCAGCATCACACAGACCACGTTCTCTGACACACCAACACTAAACTGCAAGGCAACAACTAAAAACGATAAAAAAAAAAAAAAGTCCTGGGCCAAAGATGAAAAAATAACGGAAATTACAAATACCGAGAATAGAATAATGATTGAAACCTGCATTTCAAAACTTGTCGGGTATGGTCAAAAAAGTACACAGAAGGAGATCTATAGCTTTAAATATTTATGCTACAAAAGAAGAAAGGCTGAAAATAACTGAGATATGCATCAAACTTCCATTGAAAGAAGCATACCAGAAGTCAATGCGGGAAACAAGAGCAAATAATAAAGAGGAGAAATTAATGAGATAAAAAGGAACAGTGACCTATGTGGGTCTCAGAAGTAATGATGAAGCAGATGTCCTCCTGGTGAGGTTGATTGAGCAAGAAACGAAGGAGGCCCCAATAATAACCAGCAATAAAACCGGTGCTGAAGCAAGATCTTTCTCAAGTGCCCAGAGCACAGAAGAGAATAAGCCCAGACTAAAACGTGGGCCTGGAGAGACTTTCCACACTTGACATTCAGGGAAGAGAGGATGCTGGTGCCTCTGATGTCCATGGGTTAACTGACTGGGTTGGCCCTCTGCCGTGGGATAGACGAGTTAGAGCAAAGCAGAGACACGTGAAGCCCTACAAAGCCAAGCTGCCCCCACTCTCTCCAGTGTGGCAGCTACTTCCCTCATATGGGCGTTCCTTTTACTGGGGGTGGGGGGGAATGACCTGGAAAGGAAAAATGAGACTGATTCAGACTATTTTTAAAAAGTGCTCTGAACCCAGGTTCACTGAGGCACTAGGGAGAAGCTCTTTTTCTTTCCTTCCTTCTTTTTTTCCTTTTTAAAAAATTTCCATTTATGGCATACAAGCAAACATTTAAAGTCCTAACATCCATTTCAAAGACTCACTCCTAGGCAAGGAATTGAAGTGTGCATGTGGAGGAGGCTCAGACTTTCCTGCGTTCTGTCACGCTCTATGCTGGCCAGCGTCTGACAAGCACGCAAGGCTGAGACACAAACATTAGAAAGTCCGCTCTGAGGAAGTGACCTATCAGTGAAAAATCTACTGCCTCATCTTGATCGAGAGAAGTAAGTGAGGGGCTGGACTGAAACAGCCCTGCACTAGGCATTGACTTTGACTTCATTCCTTGGAGCTGTTTCGCTTTGTAAGATGGTGAAACAGTGGGTGAGTTTCAGGTGCCCATTCTGTAATGTTCATGTCGAGAGGAGCGAGACATCCCTGGCTGGTCTGGATGATTATGGCTGACTGTGCTCCTCCTGCTACGAAATGAAATACAATGGCAGATTGGCCAGAAGAATGAAGTAAATATGAAGGTTCCAAATTATTTCCTGCAGCTTCTAAAGTGCAAGTGCTTATTTTGCGTGGACTCGTCCCCAAGACTTTGAGCACTACCTAGAGGAACGGAGAATGATTCACCCTCATGACCCTTGGATCTCAACCCATCTGGGCCACTTAGAAGGTCTGGGACTCTGGCAGGTCCTTCCACATTCCTGACTCAGGTACCTCTTCTACAAAGCTAAGACAATGATATCTCCCCCAACTGGTGCAAGGACGAAGCGGAATAGCCATATGGGGACATTCTGGAATCTGGTCTGCCCTTCCATCTTCAAAACTCTCGCAATTCACCCCCTTTTCATGATTAATATCTTAATCTTTAAGTCTGTAGAAACACATTGGGTACAGTGTGAACCGAAGACAGAAGTAAAGTTCCTTTAATCCCGACGGAATATGAAAAAACAAAAACTAAATGGACCATCTTCAAAACCAAAGCCAGGAGAGCGAGAGCCAGGCAGAACTCTGAGAGAGAATGAGTTGCTCTGAATGGTTGTATTTCCTGAATGGATGGCAGGGGAGGGGGTTCTCCTAAGAATCAAAGCATTAAAAACAAACAAACCAGAAAAAGTGACCAATTTGGGATTTTTAAAAAAATCTCTCCAGTATACTTCAAAGATGTGTTGGTGGCCTTCAGCAGTGCATGCTGAGTATCATTCTACTTCTCCTTGAAAATTTTTATTGTTGTTCTGGGCACCCTGAGCAGCCATCCAGCTATAACACCGGTGGCATCTGTAAGACTGTAAAGGGCTTAGTCCAGCCTCTGATTTTACAGATGAGAAAGCTAAGCCCAGAGAGGTTAAGTGACTCAACCAAGCCACACAGCTAGCTGCAGAGAGTACCACACCAGGTCTCCTGACCTTCCACTTTCCACATTGCCTTTTGGGAGCCACTGATCTTCATAAGACCACCTGTCCCTCCTTGAAATAACCCCAGGTCACCTGAAACAACTCCAGAACCCCAGAATATTTCACAAGTATCTGTCCGGGCACTAACTCACAGATTTCTATGTCTCCCTTCTCTGATGTCCAGGGATCACACTGGCTCACAGAAACCCCACTTGAGCGCATATGCGTTTCGCTTTGAGGGCTCATTTTATTCTCTGAGGTATAAATGTCTTCAAAAATCTGGTGTCCTCTCTCCAAGACTTATCTTCTAATTTGCCTGGGAAGTAAGCACTAAGCAGCCATGCTAAATGGGATACCAGCAGCCATCGGACAGCTCGGAGGAAGTACTAGGGATAATGCCCAGTCCCACTGTAGTCCACATCCTGTCCATTTCATCTATGAAATCCCTAACCGCAACCCCACATAGTTTATGAAGCAGTCGCCATCATTACCCACAGATCAAGTAGAAATTAAAGTACCCCGAATACACAGACACATTGCCTGGCTGGGTGGCCACAGGTTTTATCTCGACACCACTCAGCATAGGACCGTACACACATGGCGCTATAGAACATGCATGACCTCAAAGTTCTAGAATCCCAACACCAGAGAGATGAGGTCACCATGAACAGTGATGAAAGAGGCATCGCTAACTTCATATCTAGAGTTTTCCCCCTTATTCAAGGAAGTGCTTAAAAAACGTTTATGACAATAACTGAAGATAAAAATGTTTCTTTCCTAATTTGCCAGAGCACATTCAATCATTTTTTTAGGAAATTAAATTGATCTCTGATTGCCCATGAAGTTCAAAGAAGCTTCTCGTTCCTGTGACCCAGCCTCCGTGGAGACAGTCCCCACAGCTAAGGCACAAAGTTGAGGAAGAAACTGCCATCCCAGCCCAGCTTCGGCCTAAGGCTGAGCAGCCGCTAACCAATGCGCTGTCGTCCCAAACACAGCCAGGCCGCCACCACTGGGAAGGGGGAACTGCCTTGTAAGGCTTGTAGCCCTTTCTGCTGCCTTCCTGTAATTTACTAACAGGAAAAAAAAAAAAATTATAATTAAAACTCTTCATTGAAACCCACAGCTTTCCCAATTTCTCTCAGATGTTGCTCTTTGCCCCAGAGCAGTTTTGCTAAAATCATGCCCACGGAGAGTCTTGACCTCTGTCCCCGTGCATTTCCGACCATCTTTTGGGCAACCAGTTGACGTTCCGCCCTTCCTTTACCCCCTGAAGACCACAGAGCAGTCCGGCCCGCGCAACTAAGTCGCTCGCTCCAGGGGCCGCGGGTCTCCACCGCGAGTCGGACCGTAATTTCCCACTTTTGCACAAACCCACCCCGACGACAACGTCTGTCGTACGGGACGCTCGGGTGCCCGAGGAGGTGCGTGCGAAGCATCCGCGAACTTAGCACCTGTCCCCACCTGTGGTTCACACCCGAAACCCAAGCATCTCTCCGTCCGCTCGCTCGCAGAGGGCAATCAGCGACAGGCGTTCCCCGGGCCTGTTGCGCGCGGCGCTTCGAGAGCGGGATGCACCCGGTCCGTCCCCAGAGGCCACCAACAGGTGCCAGCCTCCCCGGGCCGGCCGCGGAGGCCGGCTTCCTGCCCTCGCCGCGTCCGGGGAAAGAAGGGCGCCGTCCCGTCGGGCGGGCCCCCCGCGCCCACCCGCGCCCACCCGCTTACCTCGCTGACGATGGTGGAGTGGGTCTGGGCGTACCGCCAGCCGCCCCGGCACGGCACGAGCGGCGCCGAGCGGTTGGGGAAGGCGGCGAGCGGGTCGGCGCAACTGAGCGCGTCGGGCGCGGCGCTGGCGTTGGCCGCCTCCAGCAGGTACCGCCGGCAGCTGCCGTCGCCGCGGTGCTCGGGGGGCGCAGTGCGGTTCCACTCCTCCTCCGGGCTCCAGCCGCAGCGCTCGGCCAGCGCGGCGGCGCTCGGGCCGCGGCACCAGTAGCGCTCGGGCTGGCTGCCCAGGAAGACCACGCCGACGAAGAGGAAGGCGAAGGTGACGCCCGTCAGGCACAGCAACAGGAACACGCGCCGCTGAAAGCGCCCGAACTCGCCCGCCCTCTGCAGCGCCTCGTCGAAGGAGGGCATGGTGCGCGCGGCCGGCCGCCGCCGGGCCCGACTCCGCGAGCGCGTCCTGCCGCCGGTCGCCCGGCCTCCGAGTGAACGCGGGCCCCGCCGGCCGCCGCCTCACCCCTGCCGCTCCCCCCCTACCCCCCCTCCGCATGGCGCTCCCGCCTCACAGCCCCGGGCGCCGCGCCAGCCGTCGCCGGCCCTTCGGCCCCCGGGGCCCTCGCGCCCGCCGCCCCCGCCGCCCCCGCCGCCCCCGCCTCCCGAC